CACACACACACAAATATACTGCTTAATCAAACAGTAGTATAAATCTTTAGAAAGGAGTACATGTTCAATAAAAACAAAGAGAATTATCCCATTTTAAAATATGGTTAAAAACTATGGAAATACCTTAGAAGTCTATTAAGGTGACTTTAAGTGAGTTTATTATTTCAGCATGCCAGTTATTTTTCAATTAGTAATTTAGAGTATGAAGGGAAGAAAAGAAATTGTCTCAACATGAGAAAAGCAAGATACAACTCTCTTAACTATATATCTATTTAGAGAGAAGTGAACATTTTCTCTATAAGTATAAGCTTATACTTAAGTTAATTTTCTCTATAAGTATAAGCTTATACTTAAGTTAATTAACACAGGGAAAACTTTAAATTTTGGTTAATGCCAATAAAATACAAACCTGCATAAACTGATGTTCTTTATTAAATTCTTCTTCATCTTGTGCAATCAAGTCCAATGCTTCAGCTTAAAAGAAAGTTTAAATAATTATATTATACTAGTACCTAATTAAATACTAGTATACAAATAAAACTTAGCTAGGAAAATGAAGTACCAAAATGAAAGCTTTCATCACACAACTGATACACTGTATTTAAGTATATAAGTCTGTGGTCCTCAAACTTTTGGTAACGGATGCCTTACTGCGATTTTATCAGTTACTAACTTGTCCTAACTTACTAAAGGAGCTTTATAACTATGTAAGCTTTGAAAATGTGGCACACCTGAGTTAAAGTACTCACCCATGAATACATGGGGAACTTCACTTGGGAACATCAGCCTGGCAAGTCACTCTACACACTTGTTATGAAGATGTCTGCAAGGGTGCCCAACCACCTATTTGCCGGGGACAGTCTCTGTTTTAGAAAGGAAAAATCCCACCTCCCAGCAAACCCCACACTTTGGGAAAAGAATGACAAGTGGCCACCCTCAAAATTCCTATGAGCAACTAAGTTCACCTTAAGGAAATGAATGGGCCCAGACACCTCCAATCTCTAAGTCAAGCCATAAACTAAAATGTCTTGAAGGAAGGGGTGGATGAGCAAAGGCAGCCAGGTATCACACAACAGAGTGGTGGGCTAGTGGCAAACTAGAAAGCATCTGATCCTGCTCAAGGTATCAGAATTAAAAAGAATTGCAAACATGTTGGCTAAATCTGAAAAGTCTGCAGACTAGACTCTAGATTGCCTGTCTGCTGCCCACTCTGGGCCCTTGCCTGTAACTTTAGGATAGCAGCCAAAAGGGAAGAGTAAACGGCAGCTTAGAAGAGACAGTTTACTTGTGACCCACATGAGAGATGTCCCCACTCTCATTAGTGAGGGGCCTAATCATATCCAAACTGCCCTTTGGAAACTTTGACATTCCAACATTAGTATCTTGAGAGACAAAATGAAAAATATATTTTTCAGGAAAAGTACAGCACCAGAGAGAACTCAGGATTCTTATTAGGACAGTGCTAATTCTTTACCTTGTGAGCCCATCGTTTCTTATACATATACATTTTTAGTGTAGAGTTCTATAAATGAGCATCAGGAGGACCACAAAGCTTCCAAAATCACATGCAAAATAGTATATTCCACATAAAAATTGTTTTATTAAGAGTCTCTGTGGGGGTCCATGACTCAAAAAAAGTTAAAAACTACTGCCCTTAAGTGTGAAATATCAACCAACCAAATCTAACACCCATGAGAAGGGAAGTAGGAAATCAGTTCATAAGAACCCAGAAAAAATATAATTTACTTCAATGAGTTAAATACCACAGTTTAAAAATTATGAAGTAAACAGCTCCAAATGCAACTTAGTATATTATTCCTAAGTACTTTTTCCCTGAACTCTAAGAGATTCTTCAGTTAAAGAAAAATCAGCAATGGTATTGTTACCTTGTATGCTCATCAGAAATCAGCCACGAATTATGAGAAAGCAGACTTCATTTTTTTTAACAATCTAATGCCCAAACTTTTTGCCAAATATAAAATAATAGTCCTCTCAAACATCACCTGAATGCTTTAGCTTTTAAATTTTGAAGCAGGCTTTATGACCCTCAGCCCAAGTGTTTAACTTCTACGCAATGAGCAGAAGTATTAGTACCTCAAACATATGGAGGCATCAGAAAGGGGGAACGCAGAAATGGGGAAGAGGGAGTAGTATTTCTTAGGTAAATTTTCTAAATAAAGTTGGTTATGTAGGTAAACTTTTAGTTAAAATTTACTGGGTCTGACAGTATAAAATTATGCCCATGGTTCAATCTTCCTCTTCTCAGTCTCTCCTTTTACATGATCAACATTCCCTTTCCCTTCCCTAAAAAAAGGCTCCCATTTCATTCATGCCTCACGGACCCTTATTATTCCCCTTCCTAGTTCATCCTTTCTCTCCTCCCATCACACTTTCAATAGCTTCCATAATCATCTCCATTTCCCTACCAACCATGCTAGCCATCCTTTCCAAACTGGCTATTGTTCATGCCCTAACCACAAGGATGGATTCATTAAATTCCTCCATTATCTATTTTATTTTTCCTTTAATAGTAATACACCACATATATGCAAAAGGTGTATGTCTGTATATTATACTTCAATGAAGAGTTTTTAGAAGCTAACCAAAAGACATACAAGGGATTACAACATTCAAAAGACTACCCATCCCTGACACCTTTTCCAACATCTCCAGAAGCAACCAGTGTATAAAGTACCTTTGAAACCCTTGACTATTTCAGTCTATTTGATTTTTGAGTTTAAGTACCTAGGGATTTCTGTAATCCGTTTCTTTGTTTTTAAAAATCTTTCCACTGTATGCATTTACAAATGCACGTGTGTCCTCCCTTCTTCCACCTTTTTATTCAAATGGTAGAACATTTTATATGCTTGTTTATGTCTGGATTTTAAATACTTTATTTCAGTGACCATTCCATATCAGTACCTAAAGAGCTCCATTACCTTCTGTTTTGGCCATGAGGAATTTCCTTGTATGGATATGCCTTATTTTAATAGTCCTCTATTTTGTTCACCCACATTGCTTCCAAGCTTTTGGTATTATAAACAATGTGCAAGTAGTAACTTTGCATATACTTCATATACCATTTGTGCAAGTGTATCTGAAGAATGAATTCCCAGAACTGCTTGGTTACAGGGTTTCTGCATGTGTAATTTTGCTAGATGCTGCAATACTGCTGCACCTAGAGGCTGTACATGTTCCCTCACAGTCTTGCCAATATAGTTTATTACCAAACTTTTGGATCACTGCCAATGAAATAACTGAAAAACAGTATAATGGGGTGGTTTTATTCTCCATTTCTTTCTGTAAGAATGAATTGGTACAACATTTTTATTTCCTTCTCTATGAACTGCCTGTTTACATCCTTAGCCCAATTTTATTGTGAGTAGTTGGGTATTTTCCTTTTATTAGAATTATTTACATATTAAGTAAATGGGCTCAGTCAGTAATATGTATCATCAGTTTGATCACTAATTTTTAAAAACTTTTTACCAAGCATAAATATACATGCAGAAAGTATATATAAGTGTATAAATCAATGAATTTTCATAATCTAAACATATTTGTGTAGCCAGATCAAGAAACAGACACTGTCAGCACTCAGAAGACCCCTTGAGCTACTTGCCATCATTACATGCACAGCCAAGGGTAACCACTATCCTCACTTCTTTCTCCACAGAGCAGGGTACTTCTGAAATGTACACAAATATGATTATATAGCATATATTCTTCATTAGCCTTATTTCATTCAACATATTTGTGAAATTCACCCAAGTGACTTATACATCACTCATTCCTATTGCTACATAGCATTCCAGTGTATGAATAAATACAATCTGTTCACTGTAAATGGGAATTTGGGAGTTTCTAGTTTGGGGATAATTATATAGTGCTGCTCTAAACATTGTAGTATGTGTCTTTTTGGTGAATATATTCATCCACTATACAGGGAATATACTTAGCTAAATTCCCAGGTCAGAAAGTGCAGAGTTCATGAAGTTCACCTTCATGAAATGCTACCAAAAAAGTTTCCAAAACGGCTTTATCAATTTACATTCCTGACAGCAACATATAAGAATTCCATGACCACCGACTTTCTGAGTGACAAAGTCAATGTCCACTGTCAAGTCTGTATTCTCCTGCCCTTTCTAAATTAAGGTATCACTGAGCAAGTTCTCACTGTACCTTAACCTCCAATTTCTGACTCAAATATCCAACTACTGAATATCCCCACTTCAAAGCACAATTATCCAAATTCTACAATTTTTTTCAGTTTCCTGTCGCAGTTAATGACACCACCATTTTCCCAAGTAACTTAGACCATAAACCTCAATCTTTTCTTGCCTTTCCACTATCCCCTGAAATCTAGTCACCAAATCCTAACCATTTTATTTCTGTCTTTCACTGGCTTTTCATTCTCACTGTGACACCTAGATTTCTACAATATCCTAAGGAATCACCCATTTAACTGACCATGGCTGCCAGACGACTCACAAAGCAAGTTGGACAAGCAAGTCTTCAGTGACTCCTATTGCTTACCAAGCAAGCCTCACCTCTCTGGCATGGTGTCACAGCTCCATTCACTCCAGGGTCCCATTTACCTCACTAGCTTCATTTCTTCATCTCTTCCTCTCTCCTTCCCATATCTTGCCATATATGCCAGCCACATCAGACTGATTACCATTCTCACAACCCGTCCATGCTTTCTCAACTTGTTCTCTTTCACCAAGAGAATTCCATCCATTGGAATTTCTCAATTTTCTCATGTCCCCCAATTATTTACTTGTTGAAACTGGACCCCAAAAGCCACATCCTATGTAAAACCCTTCAGCCACACACTCATGCAATTTGTTTTTTTTTAAACTCCAAAGCATTTGGTTGTTTCTTCTGCTGCTGATTGTTATTTTATATTCTTCTCTTATCCCTTTTTGCCGATGGACAGTTTCTTAAGGGCTGGAAAAATACCATATTTATCCCTACTTCCACATGATTATAAGAGGAACTCAGAACAAACTAACTTTTTCCAGCATCTTCTAAGCCCATTAAAATAAGACTAGGCTTGACAGGTCATTGAACCCCTTTCCTCATCCCATCAGACACCAGAGGCCTCAGCAACACAGCAACACCTCCCTCAACTAAGGCTCAGAAAGCTACATGTTCCACAGACCTAAGCTGGGTTTTCCTTTCAATGCCACATATTCTGCCAATCAACAAACCCATAGGATGTTCCTAATGCTCTCATCCTTTTAGATTTCATTTAGCTTTTTCATCACTTTTCTTCCATCATTTCCTCCTAAAGTTCTTAGCTGTTTCTCCAAAATGGATTGGCTTTTGTAATTACTCATTTATCAGAATCTTTCTTTAGTTCAGACAGGATTTTAAAAGTCTTTCAACTCTGCAACAAATGTAGGTTCTAAACGGAAGTAAAATTAAGAGTGCCAGACTAACTCACAGTCCTTGACAAATGGAAAGGCTCAGCTCATTCGGCACTAACCAGCTCAAGCCTTTTCCTGAAAAGTGAGTGAAGAGTTCAGTATTATATATTCCAGAAGGGATTTGATGCAATACACAGAGCAATCTCGGAACACCATCAGAAACAATGAAAATGGTATAATAAAGTGATTAACAATACACTTACAGCCAGATCTGAAGTCTTCATTCATTTCATCAATTAGAGACATATCTAAATCTTGTTCTTTATTAAAAGATGTGTAATAGGCAAGGTCAGTAACCCATTTGCCCTCTTCATTTTGATAGACCACACTCTGTGGTAGATCCATTTCTAAAAAATAAAATTCCGGAAACCCAATGACACATACAACTAATATTCTTAAATAATTTTATTTAGTTGACCTATTTTAGTTCACCAGAACTGAAATCTGCCTAAAAACTAGTTAGAAAAAAGAATATCCATTTCCCCAAAAGGAAATCAATCTCTCTTATGGTGGACAAGTCAGTGTTAACCACAGTAAAAGTCTAAAAGTCTACAATGGAGAATGAGGGAGGAAGGAAAAGAAGATTAAGACTTAGGTATGTTTCAACTAGATCTGTGAATAAAAATCCATAGAACACATATTTTAATATGAAAGATTAGGCAAGTTTTACTTGGAAACATAATCAAAATATATAAACATTTTTAATATTTCTTTGCTTTTATTTAAAATTTAAAAAGCCCACTTATAGTCCTCATTTCTTCAATGGACTCATAATAGCCACATGTTTGCCTTTCACTACCTGGTGGCCAAAGACTACCAATGGACTTAATTCCATGATCACTAAGAGGCTTGAAAGATACTATGTCTGCAAGATTTTGAATGGACACTTTAGGAGTGTCAGTGTCTAAACAAACATCTATGCACAGGCAAAACTGTTTCTGAATCTGACACCAAATGCTTATTTTGGTGAGGAAACCATGCCCCCAGCTTTAAAGAATCCATCAAGTCAAATCACCTTTCTTGGCACTGGTGTCATGAAAACACACAGGGTGAGGTTCCACATAAGCAGCCTTTACAGTCTTCACCAAAACTTCTTCTCTTGCACTTTCCTTTAGAAATCAGTAACAGAGCAACAGTAAGTTTTGTTTTCATAACTCATTCCAACATTTTATGGCAAAAAAATTTTTCAGTTGAAATAAAATGTTTACCACATAAAGGAACTGACTATACAGTATTCACATATTCTTCTAGACTAGATGAAACAATGTTAAATAATTTCCCAAAACCAAAATTCATAACATGGTCGTGGCAAATATCCATTAAAAGATTCAGATATAAAAGTGGATCCAGGGGCGGAGCCAAGATGGCGGCGTGAGTAGAGCAGTGGAAATCTCCTCCCAAAACCACATATATTTTTGAAAATACAACAAATACAACTCTTCCTAAAAGAGAGACCAGAAGACACAGGACAACAGGCAGACCACATCCACACCTGCGAGAACCCAGTGCCTTGTGAAGGGGGTCAGATACAAGCCGCGACCCGGTGGGAACCGAGCGCACCTCATCCCAGCTCCTGGCTGGAGGAGAGGAGTCGGAGCCCAGGACTGCTAAACACCCAGCCCTAGCCATCCGCACCGGAGCGCAGACATAGTGCATGTGTGGGGTGCTGGAAACTAGGGAAACAGGACAGTAAGATCTGTGAGTGGGTTCCCGCAGCCAATGCCCCTGCGACAAAGAAAAGCGAGTGCTTTTTGAAAGTCTTAAAGGGACAGGGACCCCACAGCTGGACAGAAGCGTCCCGGGACACTTAGCCTAGAAGCTGGGAATTCTGGGGAACTCTGGGCACCCTAACCCCCTGGGCAGCAGCGCAACTCGGAGGCCCCTCATGGAGATAAACAGCCTCCTGGCCATTTCCCCTCCAAATGATTTCACTAATTTGTGGAGTATAAGAACAAAGAAAAACTGAAGGAACAAAATAGCAGCAGAATTACAGAACCCAAGAATGGACTAACAGTTACCAAAGGGAAAGGGACTGGGGAGGATGGGTGGGAAGGGAGTGATAAGGGCAGGGAAAAAGAAAGGGGGCATTACGATTAGCATGTATAGTGTGTGTGGGGCACGGGGAGGGCTGTGCAACACAGAGAAGACAAGTAGTGATTTTATAGCATCTTACTATGCTGATGGACAGTGACTGTGAAGGAGTATGTGGGGGAGACTTGGTGAAGGGGGGAGCCTAGTAAACATAATGTTCTTCATGCAATTGTAGATTAATGATACCGAAATAAAAATAAATAAATAAATAAATGCTCTATAAACAACAACAAAAAAATGATTGATGTCAAATTTAACAAATTAAGAGTTAAAATATGCTCTTCCCCATAAATACGTACAGAATGATTTACTTTATCATATGTTAATGTTCTGGTTTTAATCAGCAACATATTGCATAGCAAATGCTTACCTGTGACCTGGTCCATTAAAATTAATTGGTAAACAAACAGACAAAAAAAAGTGGATTCAACATGTTTATTACATCACAGGATGTTAGAAATGTCAGTGTAACTTTTATAATTACACTAAACTCTCTACAAGGATGGTAAGCCCATCAGTGTGACCAACCTCATAAAAATTAATATGAATAACAGCCCTTGAAAACACAAAACTTATTATCTTTCAATAGGAGTAAAACAACAAATACTAAAATGTCTTTGAGGACCCTAACATTCTTGCACCAGACATGGCAAATTCAGCTGGTGCCTCAGCTGTTGCTCAACATACTTCCCCAAATGGCACTTCTTATTCTTTCCTCAAATAACAGCTACTGAAAAGGTGCTTGAGTGCCTACAATACTCTTTTTAGACATTCAGCTACCACCATTATCTTAAGTGCCAATAAAGCCTGTAAAAGCAGTCTTTTCTATTATAAGATATATGAAAAGAAAAACAGCCACATAGACAGTTTTTTAAAGATAAAATACTAAAAGGAGGTAATTCTATATAGAAGAAAAGATACTGAAGTTGAAATAAGTTCATAGGTTTAACTCCTAGTGCAACTTGCCACCATTTATCAGCTGGGTGATTTTCCAATAATGTTATACAAAAAATAATGTTACATCTCTACCTTTTATGAAAACAAATTTCACATGGCCTAAAGGTTTAGATGTAAAAGTACTAAGAGAAAACACAGATGGATAGTTTATATTCTTCAGGAGGCAACATCTTGCAAGTGTAACACTCTTGTGGGTTAGACTGTGTCTCTCAAAAAAGATAAGTCTAGGTCTTAAGCCCAGGTACCTGCATACTGTGACCTCACTGAGAAACAGGGTCTTTGCAGATGTAATTAAGTTAAGGATCTTTCAGACGAGATCATCCTGGATTTAGGATGGACCTTAAACCCAACAAGTAGTGTCCTCATAAGAGAAAAGGCAGACTTCAGAGAGACAGAGGGATGCAGAGGAAATGGCGATATGCAGATGGAGGCAGGGACTGGAGCTATGCTGCTGCAAGCTGAGGAACTGCAGGAACCACCAGAAGCTGAACAGGCCAGAAGGAGCCTTTGGAGGGAGCTTAGCCCTGTAACACCTTCATTTCAGACTTCTGGCCTCCAGAACTGAGAGGGAATACATTCTTGTTTTAAGGTGGAAAATTTTCCTAATTTGTTTCCACAGCCTTAGGAAATGAATAAAAACACTGAGCCTAAAATGCCTAAGGATCAGCAGAGAGAAGACCATGTGAGGGCACAAGGAAAAGATGGCCATCCACAAGCCACAGAGAGGCCTATAGAGAATCCTAAAGAGAACCCAATCCTGCTGAAACCTTGATCTCAGACTTCTCCAGAATGGTGAGAAAATAAATTTCTGTTGCTTGAATCAAGTAAGTAAATAAATAAAATGCATAAGGATCAAAATATCTCTTTAACACAGAAAATGTATAAAACCAAAATATGAATATCCCAAAAGAAAAAAAAGACAAATGCCATTTAAAATTAGATAACTATTTTTAATATATGATACTAGCAAAGATTAAAAAGAACGAGAATATGGGAAATTAGCTCTCTCCTCAGTAAAGCAACTTAAAACAATCTTGAATGAAGAATGCAGTCAGGCGATAACAGTCTCCAGAACCACTGTACTCTTTGGTGAAGTGTTCTTGAACGTTTTATGTGCTTCGCTAAGGAGCCAATCTGTGGGATTATGAGTGAATGCCTCTAAGACAAATTCCACCCAGGATGAACAATACAGCAGTGAAGCAGGGCCTGGGAGAGCAACCTCACCACCCCACAGGCAACACACTGACAGTAGAAATTCTGGTGCTAAACATGTATTAAATGTCAGCCCTCAACACAGTTAAAAAAAAAAAAAAGAAGAAGAATGCTGTTGCTCTGATAGTTTTTAAGCCTAAACACAAAATAAACGTTTGCACTCTGACAGTGTAACTCTCCTAGCAAAACTTAAAAGAGTTAGGAAATGTCAGGAGAACGAAATAATAAAAGCGATTCAAAGATCTCTTAGGAGGTGGGGTTTCAAGAGGAGGTTATAAAACTATTGGAAAGTCTTATCTTATTGGAGTCTAAAGGAAACAGAGGCAACAAAGCACCCTAGGGGGAATGTGCTGATACTGTCTGAATATTAGCTGAGAAATAGGTCTGATAATTAGGGAAGAGAAAGGATGCCCTCCAAATAATAGAAAAATAGTATCCTTTATAGAATCTAACAACTGATTTCAAGCTTCACCATTATCATACATACCAGTAAGAAGAAACATTAAACTATGACATCAGTAACTCCAAGACACATGTTCATTTTAGAAGTTTTAAAATACAAAAACTGTGTATTTTCGAATCAATGAAAAATGATAGAACTTTCAAGTAAACAAGGAGGAATACCTGGGAATGGAAGAAGGTAAGAGCAGGGATGAACAATGTAATAAAAAATTTGAAAATGGTGAAAACCATATAAAATAAACATTAAATGAAGTAAAACAAGAATAAAAATCAAGATTATTACACTAAATGTTACAAGATTAATTAGCTCACTAAAAAACAGACTATCAGATTAAAACATAAAACTCAGCTAATGCTACTTAAAACAAAAATAAAAATTTAAAAGAATGGGATGAAAAAGAAGATAACACAAACACAAAATAAAGAAAAGGTAAGGGCTTCATTCAGAGGAGAATTTAAGGTTAGAAGCATTAAACAGGAAAAAAGAAGGGCACTATTACTAAAAAGGTACAATCCTATAAATGAGGTTATAATAACTTTAATCTTGTATGCATTAAACAGCAGTGAAATACATAAGAAAATCTAAGAGGTGCAAAACTCATTTGATAAAAATTCAATTAAATTTGGAGACTGATTTATCTTTTCTAGAATTGATATTTATAGATAAACACAAGAGTGATCATAGAGAAACTAAAAAATCTGAATAACAATTAGAATAGCCTGAACTAGTAGCTCTTTAAAACTAAACATTCTTTAAAAAATAATAAAAAAGCAATTATTTTCATTTTTGTATCTATGAAACACACTTGTAAATATATACACTTTACCTAAAACATTTAGAAAGGTTAGATTTTTCAAACAAAATTCCAATTATGACCCTAAAAGTTAGAAATCAAAGGGAACACAGGGAGGAGTCAAGATGGTGGCGTGAGTAGGGCAGTAGAAATCTCCTCCCAAAACCACATATATTTTTGAAAATACAACAAATATAACTATTCCTAAAAGAGAGACCAGTGGATAGAGTACAATAGCCAGGCTACATCTACATCTGCAAGAACTCAGCATCTCACGAAGGGGGTAAGATACAAGCTGCAGCCCGGCGGGACCCGAGCTCCCCCATACCCCAGCTCTTCAGTGGAAGCAAAGGAGACGGAGCGGGTAGGGAGTGAAAACCGAGGAGTGTTAAACAACCAGCTCTTGTAATCCGCACCAGGAGCTCAGACATCCAATGCACGGTGTGCTGGATATTAGACAAACGGAAAAGCAAATTCTGAGAGTGGGTCCCTGCAACCGGCTCCGCTGAGACAAAAGAGAAGCGAGTGCTTTTTGAAAGTCTAAAAGGGACAGGGACCTCACAGCTGGATGGAAGTGTCCCAGCACACTCAGT